ATATATATATATATTTCTAAGCCTGTTAGCTTTACTTACTCTACACCAAGAAAAAAGAATAAGGTAATAAAGAAAAGTGGTTTGAGGATATCCTAAAGAATAGTGTTAACATTATCTTTCCATGAGAACTAAGGAAAGGGAGGCACATGTCTGTTTTGAAACTATTACAACATCTAAAGTATGAATAAGACTGTTATACTGAAAATTCAGGCCTGCCTAGTGGTGACACACACCTGTAATCCCCGCACTCGGGAGGCTGAGGCAGGAGGATCGCTGTGAGTTCGAGACGAGCCTGCCTTACAGAGTGAGTTCCGGATCAGCCTCAACTACATAGTGAGACCCTGTCTCAAAAAAATAGAAAATTCAGCCCCCATTGTAGTTCAAGCCAATAGTTGAATCATTTTTTCTCAGAGATGATCATAGTTGATGGGTCAGTGAGAAGTCAGCCTCACTTCTGAAGTAAAAATTGCAGACCTGGCCCAGCTTTGAAGGGAAGAACAAGATGTGGCCATAAAAATACATTGATGTTTTTATTATTCAAGTAAAAACAGTTTTGAGGTGAGACAGCAGTGAGGTTAGATGATCAGTACTGCATTCTGATGGGTCCGCTGTGAGTGAATTTTAGGTACAGTGAGTCTAAAAATTGTTTTGAAGTGTCAGTGTCTTTGCATATAATCTTTTCTTATAGGAGGATAAGCCACATCTACTCTTCCCACAGGTACATTTAGAGGTTGCCTCGTGAGTACTCCCTTGGTGTCTCGTATGCACCTCTTATCAAATCATCCAATATTGTAGTTGCTTATTTACAGCTCTCTCTCACTAGACAGAATTCTTTAGGGGTGGGATGGTGTGTATTCATGTTTGGATCCCCAGTAGGATATATCAGAGTGCCTACCACATATTCAGCATTCATTTAGTGCTTATCAAATTTAATGCCTGTCCCATAAGCAGCTTTTACAGTCCAAAAATCTAGGAGTGGTGTTGAATGAGAAAATTGCTATAGATATTCTTTTAAAAAGCACACTCCATATTACATTTTAAAATGGATTATAAATGACTTATACACAGCCTGTTGGAAATGTCCCACTTGTACACATCATTGACTTAGATAATTCGGAGTCATTATAATTAAAGCACACGGGGGTACAAATTTATTAAGCAGCGTGGAGACTTAGGAAGAAGCACAGAGCACTATGATAAATACACATGTTCTCAATGTCCAGTTTAAGGAATAAAGTACTCCAGGTCCTGCCAAAGCTGTGTCCCTCTCCTAAAACTTATTACACTCTCACGTACTCCTACAAGAGGGGGAAGTTGGACTCTGCATTTCCTCACACTTTTACTACCTGTGTGGTGATCTTTAGCAAAATGTGTCATTATATAGAATATCTTCAAATTATTATATGAATAACATCATAGTGTATATATCCCCGTGGATTTCATTTCTCAGCATTGTGTTTGTTAGATTCTCCACGTTGATAAGTTTCTACTTTATTTTTATGGTTCTGTTCCATTGAGTGAGCTATTGAACCATTTAATCATTTTTAAATTGCTGGACATTAAAACAATTTCCAGTGATGTTAATATTACAAACAAAGCTAAGAAGATGCTTTTAAATGTCCTCACTAAACTCAGTTAATGTTAGTAAACTTGAGAATTTAAACTATTTAGAAAAGAGAATCTGCTACTATTTTTAGACTCTTTAAATTTTGCCCTAAAGTTTGGGACCTAACAATAAACGTGCTAATTAATTTTTTGTTTGTTGAATTAGCTAAGTTATTCTCTCATGACTGACCTTGCTTCTAAAGAAAATTTGAAGCAATTTCCAGTTAAATAGGAAATGCTGAAACCAAAATAAAGACAAGTGCTCTGGAATTTCAGAAAACCTCCACTAGAAATTTGTATCATCTAAGCCTAATAATATATAGACTTCCTTCTACCCTAGATTATATCCCTGATAGCAATATTACTACACATATTTGAAAGTATTTGGAATGTAACATTTGAAAATAATTGTACCTTTTAAATATTGAAAGTTAACTTTTAATTTAATTTTAACCTGATTAAAGAAAATAAATTGGTAGTCCATGTATGTAGCTAACATCCACTTTAAATTTTGAAAAGTTTTATTTTATATAACAATTGGATAAGAACTTGCCAGACTTCAGAAGATTTAAGTTTTTAGATAAGATATATAGATACTGGTGAATGGCAGGTTGACAAGATATTGAGCCAATTAAAAAAAAAAATCCATTTGCCAACAATGGGTTCTGATATTTTAAAATTTGCAACAGTGATTTTAAAAACAAGTGGAAGTGCCTTAAATTATATTAAAAAGGGAAGTCTCTTGAAATGTGACTGCTTAATCCTTTCACCAGCATTTGGACAAATTACTAAAATATCTAGCCCTCTGAAGGATTTAGCCTATTCATGAACTATAGTTATTGGCCTCTCCCCAGATTCAGATGTTAAGAGATTAGCCTAAAAGCCGAGTTCTGATTGAAGCAGATTTGGGTAGCCTTTCTGCTGATCCTCTCCAGTTCCCTTTGCTGTAATCTGCTAGGTTTCATGGAACGAGATGCGTGAGGACGGTATAATAAAAACCTTTGATAAGACGTCCCCAGAGTCAAGGTGAGCATCGTGTTTCTCAGTCCATGAAGTGTTCACGTAAGTTAGGAAACCTCCTGCCAGTCTCTTGTCAGACTCAGAACCAGTGTTCCAGAATAGGACTGTCCGTTGGGACATTCATTGGCTTGTGGCCAAAGGAGGTATTTTTTTTTTCTTTTAAGTTCCTTGTTTTCCTGAAAAGGCACTTTGATTCTCAGAATTTATTTTTTTCAAGGTAATTTAATTTGAATTCTCTCATACTCCAAAGTCTCCCAAAAAGCTTTACTCTAACTTTTATATTGTGTTTTTTATAGTCAACCCACACCTGAGGAATTTTTCATATAGCATCAATTTTAGTAATCAGAGCATGGTTTCTAAAACCCACATGGTTCTAGCATATGGAACCTATATTTAACAGCAATCATAGTTTCAAAACAGTCACTTTCCCTTCTGAGTACAAATATTCTTCGGAACTATTAAGAGACAATGGCATAAGTGTCAGTTCTGGGTGAGGAGGGGATTCAGTGTCAAAGGAATTTGAAGTTTTCGCAGCTTGCTGTAGTTTGGTGTGCTGCCATCAGGTGGTGGGGATACGTTACATCCCATGGCTCTGCAGCTGGCACTCTGCCAAGGTCAGGACTTCGCCCTGCGAAGACCGAGAATCGTGAATGCACAGAATCACACATAGAAATTGGAATAGCATAGTACATCTGTTATTTTACCAGAGCTAAATATCCTTTGAATGGAATCTTTTAAACAGAAGCATAAGATTCACCTGGATGTTTTTTCTCTTCATCTTTTTTGTGAAGTCCTTTCATCTTTTTCCTCATAAACACTTAAGGAAATATAGAAAAGTGAAATAAAAACCTATTTAATTGCATCACCTAAATGTAACTGTCATTGTTAACCTTTTGCTTCATTTCCTTCCAGTCTTATTTTCTTTCTTTTTAGGTATATGCAATTTTTAGTGTATATTTCTCTTGTGGAATGGAGGTGGGTGGCAACAAAAGGTATATACCATTTAACTGTAGTAACATTCTACATTCTTTATGAAGCTTTTAAAATTAAAATTACAAGCTCTTTGTAACTGCTTCTGGACTGTTTTTTGGTAGTAGTGGGAATTGAACACACAGCCTCACGGATGAATATCCACAGCTCTTTTTAAAATTATTTATTTTAAGACAGGGTCTTCTTTACGTCACCAAAGTTGCCTAGGGAGAGCTTGGACTTGGGGTTCTCTTGCCTCAGCCTCATAGAGTGCTGGGATTATAGGTGTGCACCACTGTGCGTGGCTGACTTCTTAATATTCTGTCAATTTAAGTTTTCCATGATTTGTATTACCATACATCTGTTAGCACATAGTATTATTACTGACTTTTATTGTCTTTGGGACTAGTCTTTTTCTCCCTGCCATCCACTGCCTGTCAGAAGAGGCATTATTGCTTTGTGTTTATACTTGGTATTTGTTTTAACACAAAAGAATTTCTAGGTGATCTTTAACTGCAATTTTATAGATTTTATAATTTCTTTCACATTTTCCTGCTAGAAAATGTAAACTCTAGGTTTTCATCTAGGAATGAAAATGCGTAATCCCTTTGTTATTATTTTTGTATCATGTGAATATTTTATAAATTTTGTAAATGATACACAAGATAGGCTGGATGCACATTTCAGGCCCTATTTTGTTGTGAGATAGAACTATTGTCTACTTCCTACCAGAATAATTATATCTTTTCTTTTATATAGCATCAAGCATTGCATTAAAGAAATACAGAAAGAAGCTAACAAACAGTGTCCAGATGTGCAGCTGCAAACAGAAACCGACTGCTTCGAATGGCTGATTCATAGTAGTTACAGTACGTCTAAGTCACCTTCCATTCCCCATGGAGATTTGATGAAATTCCTCAAAACAATGGTAAAACATTTTTTTTGTTTTTGGTTTCATACTGGAAGTGAACAGGAACTACAGTTCATTCAATTTCTATATGTAAATATTTATTTTAGTGATAATAGTGGCCTGCCTTATCTAGGGGGGTGTATAGGTTTATTTTGTTTTGTTTCTGTATCCCCAGAAGAATCCTGTGAACCATTTTAAAAAATTCTTTACTATGGTTTTTAATCAATAGAGTGAAATTTTACATAACTGGAGGCTAAATATTACAATTCCTCGGTGATTTATGATGTGATATGTAGCATGTCAATACCACACAATAAGTTAATGTACACAGAAGTTGTCTTCCAGAGTTTATATTTTTATATGTAAATGTTCCTTCACAACTCCTAAGTTGCTCTATGCTCAGTATTATACTTAATAAGATTCCCACCGATTGCATCTGTTGAGTGGCTTTATCTCTGATTTACTACATTCCCAACTTGCAGTCATACCTAATTCTTTTAAATCAAGGCAGAAGTTTGCACAAGATCACTTAAGTATTGGAGCATTATTATATTGGTCTGTCTTTGACATCAGCCATCCTCTAGATTAGAAAAGTTTCTGAACTCTCTAACAAGAACAGTTATTTTATTACACCTACATCTACAACCGTGGTAACTGACAAGAACAGATTCCCAGAGGAAGAGCACAATGTTAGAAAGTAGTATGTCTGTAGTCATGGTTTTAATTTAATTTAGGGGGGAAAAGGCACTGTTTTTGTATAAACATCAAACATCAACTCAGGCAGATGTGGAAAATATCTTGAGGTTGTAGATGGCTTAGGATGACAGAATCAAATGAAAATAGTTTATGCCTGTTGTTATTATTACAGATGTCTCTTTAATGTGTACAAAGTAAAAAAAGGAAGAGAAAGGAAGACTGTGCCCTGAAGCCTTAATCTTTTAAGAAAATCCCACTCTTACCCATTATCTCTTGAAGATAGAGCCTTGAAGAATAAATATGGATATAGTTATTCCTTTAATTTCTATTAAGAGCCTTGTGTATTGAATTTCATTAATATTGATGTAATAATGCTTTCTCATTTAATTAAAAGCAAAAGCTTTTAATTATCTTTTAATCTGTCACACATAAGTCGTTCTCTATTCACTGCAGGGCAAAGGCCGCCTTAGTTTTGTTCAAACTCATTAGACTGATAGGCTCGTGCCAGACCTAGGTTTTTCCTCTTTTACATAATTGATCATGTTATTTTGAGGAAGGAATCACATTATTAAAACAGACCCAGATTAAAATGACCTTATCAAGTTTCTATGTGCTAAAAGTGTCAATCCTGATGGTATTTTTCATATATCTTTTTTCACAGAAAATTCGTATTAATTATCTATTTAAATAAGAAATAGGTTCACATGATGGCAATTATACTGAAGTTATTTTCAAAATGTAAGCAATCTTACAAAACACATGCTTTAAAGTTATATAATTATTCTTCTTTGTTTGACCAAATATTTACAGTTATTAACTGGCTTAAAGACAGACACATTTGAGGTACTAATACGATCATTTGCCTTAATTCTTAATTCTTATATGACATAAATATGCCCTCATATCTAAAGACATTTGCTCTCCAGAGGCGTCAGAAGAAGTAAATATCAAGAGAGGATAGAGAAAGAAGTGACTGAAACGTCCCATGCACTGTATGTTCTCTTGAGTGTAGTAGACAGAATGCAGATGATGAGTGATTCCAGGGATCTATTCTTGGTTCTGTGCCTTCTTATAGGTGACGTTTGGAAAGTTACCTAGGCATTCATATTAGTATCCTTATCTGTGAAGTGAGTTTTTAAAAACATCTGTGCCACAGTTTTCATATGAATAAACCAGAGCATCGGTGTGGGAAATGCCCTTTATATAATAAAAAAATAAACATTGAATATAATTATTACAGGTAGAACTTTGAAGTTGGCATTGCAATGTTTAGCATGACTGAAAGCAAATTCTAAGAATGTGTCTAGAAGTTATTCATAATTCTGAATCACCCATAATACCTGTGGTATCTGTTTATCAATAAGAAGTTTTAAAGCTTGCCCAGTTTTTATATGCCACTTCAGCCTTGCTTCCTCTTGTAATCAGCTTTTTTCTACTGAAAGAATAGAAACTAATTTCACTATTAGCTGAAGTAGATATAATTGGGGAAGTCAGCGTGTAAAGAGAATGTATGTGTGTAATTCAGTCTAAGAAGAAAGTAATATTTTGTCCATTTATTATTCAGAATTATGCACACCATTGTTTTCTATCAGCTCAGAAATTATAAAAGAGTAATTTCATATCATCTTTTTGGGAGCAATTCTGAGAATATCTTTATCCCATTTTGAGTTAGTTATTTCTTAAAAGAGAACTGATATATTCTCAGATTAATTTTCAAAGTAAAATCTTTCTTAATGTGGTTCTAAGGAATTTAAATGCAAGTTGAAGTCATTCATTGTATTAAATTTTATTTCTCAGGATGGTAACTATTAATAACTCCTAGGCACACACTATTTTTAAAGATCTCCACTCTGTTCTAGAATGATTTTAAGTATTGCATGTTCATTTGGGGTTTTATAATAATAAGTGTACTCATTCAGGCATGAAAATTATCTACCAAGAATTAATTAGGGGCATGATCTTGAATTTATTTTGTCTTAGAGCACATTTCAATCAATGCTTCACTATAGATTTTTTATTTAGAACTTTTGAGCTTCAGCTTTCACACATCGCGAGTTATATCAGAGGTGTAACAATAAAAGCTAAAAACTATATGTCTAGAACTCCATTGATAGCCAGCTGGGCTTTTACCGCGTTTAACAGACCATAAAAGCTATCATTCCAAATGGTCTTCATTGATTAAATTCCAAAGGCAAAGACAAAAAAATCTTAAAGGGCATCAGAGTATTGATTCTAAAGTGATATAAATTATTATAAAATCGTATATGTCTGTAGAGTCATTTTTCTTTTTGTATTTAGATGTAATGCATTCCTTATGTGATCATTTACTTTTACCAGGATGATGTATTGAAGAATGAACAAAATCAAGAAGAAATGATACTGGGTTTACTTTGGGACCTGTCCTGCAAGAGCAGCATTTCATTACCATCAACTTTAAGTGAAACATCTTTTCATTTCCTGCCTGGGACTTCTCTTCATTCTGTTGAAGATCATTCCCCAGTGGATGTAAAGTCTATATGGGATGATATAAGACTGCATCTTCGATGCTTCTTAGTGAACAGATTACAAAGCCTCAATGAAATAAACAGTTCACAGCAAAGAATTGTATTGAAAAATCAGTGCATACAACAATTCTTATTTCTCTATCCAGAATCAGAAGTTATCATCAAGTACCAAAACATACAGAATAAAATGTTGGCTAAACTTCTGCAGGACAATTTTCCTTCTTACAGCAGAGATTCAAATTTAGATATAATAGCTCATGGATACCAAAGTGCAATGCTTAAGTTATATTCAATGATAAAAGAGGATTTTAGCACACTGTGTGAAATTTTAGCTCCATCTTCAACAGTGAAATTCATTAAAGAAACTTACTTGGATACAGTTACAGAAGAAATGGGAAAATTTCTTGAGAACTTTTGTGAGCTGCAGTTCAAAGAAAATGCTGCCCATGTGGTTAAAACAAGCAAGAGTTCCAGCAAGCACAGAGGAGCAGTGCATGCCTTGGGTTAGTGACATTTACCTTTTCGGTTTGGTTTAACTTAAACCTTTATATATCTTTAATTGAGGTGGGGTTGCTTATTTGTTTTGGTTTAGTTGGATTTTTGGTTTTTCTTTGGTTAAATCTCATTGCAAACTTGGAAATAAATCAAAAAATAAATGTAATTTTGCAGTATACATTTCTCTTTTATGCATTATTGCTTCTTACATAAGTGTAGTCAGAGAAGTGTTTTCTCTTCTATTACATTGTTAATGATACTGAAAATGTAAGCCAAAAGTTTTGCACATAAGAGTGTCATTTCTCTTGATTGCATGCAACAAAGACTGAGTATTGGGTGAAACTGTATATAAATATATACAGTTTTATGTATAACATAAAAGCTTAATTTTTAATCCATTGTATCTTCTGCAGCCAAAGCAGCATTAGGTAAAAGAAGACTTGCTGAAAATGTGTTGAATTTTGCATTAATTAAAAAATCTTACAACACTTTACTCAGCCAGTTCTTCTAAAAGAGTAATTATTAAATATTAATTATAAAATTCTATATTTTAATTTTATAAAAGGTATAGCATTTATGCTTTGCCTAATTTTAAAAGTTTCTCTAATTCTTCAGTAAGAATATATTAAATTAAAAGAAAAAAGGAAGAAATTATTGTGCTACAATAAACTTTTTGTTTATGGTTTTAATTTTCCACCAGTGGACAGAAATCAAGGTAAAATGTAATTGTTCTAAAATTATTAATCATGAATCTCTGAGGTATATCTCTAACTAGATTCATAAACTACATTATTTAAGTATTTGAAAATTATCATTAAATTGTTAGGGATCTTTGTATTTATAACCTTGTTAATTATTTCTATATTTCACTATATTTTTACTTATCTTCATGATTTAAATGACAGGAGACTAAGTTAACATTGATATATAAACTTTTATATACATCAATATTTTTTCTTAAATTTTTATTTTCTTCTGAAAGCTGGATGACATTGCAGAACGGACACCTAACAACTTAGGTTGTGGCAAAATCCAAAATTGGTTAATTTAGCAACATTGCAATTTGTTCAAAGCTATTATATTTTCATTTGTTAACACAAATTCTCACATGTATTTCATGAGTGCACTTATTTTTTACAAGTTTTATATTCTTTCACAGAAATTTCCTCTCTACTTATACACTATTTCCGTTGTGAATATTTTTTGTATGCTAAATATAGCTTTTAGCTAAAGAAAAGATCCATGTGGTTGAAAATATGTGTAAATTGGAGTGGCGTCTTTAGGACTGATACTGAGGTATTTTCCTGTTTCCGAGAGAAAAGTGGGCGAGTCTACTTTTATACTAAAATTGGAACTAGGAGTGGGATTTCATAAGCAGAATCAAGATTCAAATGTAGTACTTTATGTGCATTACCTATATTCTCAACCACCATGCTGTCATCCATTGTTTCAAAGTGCAGATGAAATGTTTTGTTACCCATAGAAGAAATTTCAAACAGCAATATTCAGGTGGACTACCTGAAAATCAACTCAGCTTTAAATAAATTTTGCCTTATTTACCAGCTACCGTCATTTAGCAGCTATAATGTTCACGATTCTAAGCTAGACAAAGAATTAGAAAGAAAACTAATTGAGTCTTTGCTGCTTTATGAGAAATGCCAGAGTAACTGGAAAGATCAGCCAATTTTTACCCAGTTACCAAATTTTCTTTATTAAAGAAATGCAGCTTCGAAATGAGCAGCAATAATTTATATTTTTACTTGAATGAAATATATTATCTTTCATATACATCTATATCTTTATGCTTACCAAGGCTTTGATATTTTGCCTGAGATCTGCAGAAAGGATCTTCCTTAAATACCAGCTGACTGCTGACATCTATTACTTCAGAAAGTGATATGCAGTCTTATACTTAATTCCTCTAACCACCAAACAAGGTAGATACCATTATTATCTCCATTATGCAGTGAAGTAACTAAGACATACAGGTTTTAACTAATTTGCTCAAGGCCAGAGAATGAAGTCAAGATTCAAATTCGTGTCTGTCTGACTACAGAGCCCTTGCTCTATGACTTTGCTCTGTTAATTAAGACTCAGAATGGAAATAGCACATCTCATTTGGAAACCCTTTTCTGAATCCTCTCTGTGTTGTTGTCATGTCACTCTTCTCCACGCCACCTTTGCTCTTCTCATTTGAATGCTACAGGTCCCAACTTAAATGTATTTTTGTTTATAGAGTAATTCCTTCATACTTATCTGTTGATATGTCCTAAACAGTATTTATCTGCCTCCTGTGGCCCTAATAAGCTAATGTCCTGTCTGTTTCTGCATATGCCTACTATGTTCTTGATGAGGTAATACAATATGGACCTACAGAATCTTTAATTGACTCTGGTTTTGTATTTAAATTGAGAATTGATCGCTCTTTTTTGAATGATCTATAAATTATCTATATTACTTGAGCATAAAAGTGACTACTGCTTGTTGTTATGCATAAGATTTTGTAAGACTATATATGTAAGTTCATTTAATCTCCTGAATTCTTTTTCACATTTGTTTATACTTTTTATATGGGAAAACTGAGACTCAGATAAGTAAATATTTCCTAAGGCCACACAGCTAATAAGGCAAAGAGAGGAATTTCCTCTGTTTGCAATTATTTGGTATATTATCTTTTTTTCCCCCACCCAGTGCTAAGGATTAAATTCAGAGCCTCACACATGCTAGGCAAGTGTTCTACTGCTAAGCTACATCCTTAGGCCTGGGATATCATCTCGACATGTCTCAAAACTGTGTGTCAAAAGCACTGCAAGATACAATGATAATTAGAATTAAAAATAACTTACAGAACACTTTCTCTTTTTTGATTTTCATACTCCTGTATTGTTTATAGTACTCATTAAATGTTTTTTCTTTTTATTGACAGTGATTCATACCTGACATAATTTGCTGGTTCTGGTCACCTAAGGAACTAATTTGATGTGTTTTTTATGCTATGGTGTGCCTTGCTGCGTTATCCCATCCCATCCTGTCCTGCCCTGCCCTGCCCTTTGCTACTGTTACAGAGCAGGAGGAGCCCCTTGCAAGGCTCTTTTCTTCATCCCATTGTGCCCTTTGTACTCTAGATGCAGGAGGAAAGAATCCACAAGAACTCTGAGAACAATTATACTTATTATTTTTAATCTTGCACTAGTAGAAGACAGAATTTTAAGTAATACAAAATAGAAAATGGAGTAAAAAATGAGAAAGTATGGCCTATTCAGTTATTATTAATTCCTGTTTAGTTATTGTTTTATATTTCTTAGGTTTTTTTGAGATAGAATTTTGCTACGCACTTCAGGCTTACCTTGAACTTGCAGCAGCAATCCTCCTGCCTCAACCTCCCAAGTGCTCGGATCATAGACATGCACCATCATGTTCAGCTAATCATCATTTCCTTTAAAACAATAGTATAGTTTCAGGTTTTGGGTGGGTTTTGCTTGTCTTGTTGATTGTAAGTCATGTTTTGGCTCTGAGTGCCTCACTGCCATAGCCCCTTGCTCTGTGACCTTAGGTAACTCATTTAACCTCTCTGAATCTTTCTATTGAAAAAAATGAAAGGCTTACATGTGATAATATCTAAAGATCCTTTGAAGTCTAAACTTTTTCTGACTCTGTACATGACCACAAAGTTTAGGTCCGTAATTTGACCTTGGAAACTGCCACCACATGTACTCTCTGTACTGACACACATGTATTAATTGGCAAAGAATGTGGCTTTGTGTGCCCCCATAGAAGGTACAACAAAAGCGTCCTTTAGATCTCTTATCTGTGTTGTTTCCCTCTCCCAAGGGAAACTTGGATATAATAATATGAAACTGCTCATCTCCTGTGGTTGCATATTTTATAAGGATTGTTGGAGGGTAGGGAGGCAGTGGGAGATTAAATAAGAACAGGAAGTGGAGTTTGTCCTTGCAGCTTACATCTGAAGCTATTCTCAATAATTCTTTTTTTTTTGCCTTTGTCTTTGATCAACTAACCAAGATTTTTAGTTTTTCAATTTTTATTCTTATAAGAACATTTTTAAACATGATTAAAATTATGATCACAGACAGCAATTAGAAATGCAGCTATTATGTATTGTTGATTGCAAAGAAATCCATATGCCTGTTCATGGCATGTATTTCAATCAGGCCAGGTAGGGATTTAGTCCTGACTTGTATTTGTCCAGTGAAGAACCAGCTCATTTCTACAAGGCCATAGACAGCAGGCAAGGCAATGCTTGTTTCCAAAAGCATCTCTGCATCCACATGAGTCCCTTGATAGATAAATGCAAAATGAAAGCCTCCATGTTAGGCTTTGTAAATCATGGAGGAGTGCTTCTGTCCTACAAGACTATAGGTAAGAATTTCACAAACCGTGTACGGTGTATGTTAACCTCTTGTAAATTTAGTGTGTTTTTTTAGAGTGTAAAGAGATTCTAAAGTAGTATTTTGGGTTTTGACAGGATTGACCATTAAGGCTTCCTGTCTTCTGGTTCTGTGTTTACATGGAGTGCCTGTGCCTCCATCTTCTGTGATAGCCAAGGACAGCCATGTCATTGGCAGGGAAAAGAGACCCTTCTGACCCTTTCCTGGGCCGGGAGGGCTTTCACCAGTCATTGATTCCCTTCTGTACACTTGATCTCTCCTCATTAATGTCCTCAAAGTGATCTAGTAGGGTAAGAGTAAAGACTAGAACTATTTATTTCAGTTCCCTTAAAGGGGACAGGATAGGGCAATTTCATCATGGAGGTTAGGGTAGAGTTTTCTGTGTGCATGGTTATTCCCAGCCATTCTGATTCTTGAATTTTGATAAGGTACAGATAGCTTAGAATTTATTTTGCAGAAAGTAGTTAAATAAAGTATATCTTTTGCAAGGAAATGTTACTCAGAACAAAAATTCAACTTTTTAAAGTTACTGTTTTCCTATGATCACCTCTGTTTTTCTACATATCAGTTTTTGAATACATATATAAAGCCATTGGTCC